ACAGGAAAACACAAAGAGGAGCCTCTTGCACACAGCTTTTGCCAGTCTTGTCCTGAGGGATCATTTCTGTAGATGAATTATTGTTCCAAGTAGGTTGTCTTTGTCTCTGCTGGACATGGAAAGGGAATATTAATGCAGGTTGTTCCTGTGTGTATGGGTGTTCCTGAAGTACCTAATTAGGCACAGAGCTGCTGCTGTGCTGTTAACTCAGCATTTATTGCCAACCGCTGGCCTACACCGAGCTACAGTGATGCCTGATGTTAGCTGAAGTGCTTCTGAATTCAGGGTTGGGTCTTTGTCAGTGTCATACCTGTCCTGGAATTAAAAACCAGGTAGAAATTCGCTTGTATGATACAGATTCATGATGGTGCATTTTCAGGTTAGTGGGGAAAGTGGGATGAGTTGTGGCTGCCCCATCCCTGGCAGTGTTCAAGGGCAGGTTGGACACAGGGGCTTGGAGCAGCCTGCTCTAGTGTGAGGTGTCCCTGCCCATGGCAGGGGGTTGGAACTGGATGATCTTAAGGTCCTTTCCAACACAAACCGTTCCATGATTCGATGGGTGACGTAGGCTGGCAGGAACCTCATGAAGGTCAACAAAGGCGAATGCCAAGTCCAGCCCTGGAACACTCCAACCTTGAGCAACAGGTCAGGCTGGGGCAGCCAGTTGGGAATTTCAATGCCATCTTGTACATGAATATCCCAGAAGTGAACAGTTCACCATCGGGTGCCTCCTCTGCTGCTCATGGATTAGAATCTCTTTCCCTTGCTTAGAATAAATCCATCTCATCACTGTAAAAGCCATTTCAGATCTGTTTGGCTGTTCAGGGAGGTGGGGAATTGATATTTAACACTGCATTTTAAGTTGCTGCATGCAGGTTTTGGTTTCAAATGTAGGTTGGGATATTTTGGAGGGGGCTAAACTGTATCCGTGCAGTTATTCCCTGATAGATAAATGGGGTTTAGGTTGTTCAGTCGTGATTTTTGTCTCAGAATGGGACAAAAAAGGTGAACAATCCCAGTCTGTGATCCTAACTTGATACATGACGTTGGGGTTTGAGTGTTCTGGGATTACTCCCAGAAATGAGAGCTCTGTTTTAATGTTTTTAATGGAAGGTTGTGGAGTGAGCGTCTGATTCCATCATAAAGAAAACCAGTTTAGTATTAGCTTGGATATCCTCGCACAGTGTGTGCGCTCCCAGTGTACATCAGAAGCAGGAGTTGCAGCGTCATCATTTTCCACTGGCAGATGTTCCAGCTGTCAGGAATTGATCTGCTTTATGGGAAGCTGGAAATTTGGGATATTTCCTAATTCACTGATTCACCTCCTTGAGTGCTGGGGGATTGAGTCACTTTAAAATCAGTCGCAATCTGCTCTGCAACTCTGAAGTGGATTTACTTCAGGAATTCTTCATGGGGTGAACTCATTTTTAGACTCAATTTTGAGATTGCCTTAATAGCTCATAACATAAAACCAATGGAAAATCATCTAATTCCTGCTCCTTTTCCCCCGTTCCTGTTCTCATGGCATTGGGGCTGTACAGATCTGCTGCGCTTCATGTGGCTTTCACTTCTGTTGACTTGGGGATGTGTGCATTTGGTAAAGCAAAGAGTAAATTATACTGACTGAATGATGCTGAGAAAATGATTCTGTTACAGATACAGGAGTGTGTATTAAAAGCGTTTAAACAATGGGTTTAGTTATCATCACCATGCAGTGTGTGTAAGTGAAATTCCCCCCTCTCCTTTCATCATCTGTCAGATAGCACTGAAAGCATTGGTTCTGTTGCTGTGTGTTCTGCTGATGTGGGAAATCCACTCTCTGTAGAGCTGAGTGTGGTGTTTGCTCATTTCCCTGCTCCTTGCTTTGTTAGTGTGGCAGTTGGGGACTGCCTTAGGTCAAGGTCAGTTAAAACAGGTGCTTTTCTGTAGTGTAACAGTTCCAGATGGTTTGGATTTTATATTGTTTTGTACATTTTCTGCTGCTTTGCGCAGTTGTATAATACTCTTTTAATTACAGTTTCTAAGGAATTAGTCTGAATGTCCACTAGAGCAGCTTGCTCCAAGCCCCTGTGTCCAACCTGGCCTTGAGCACTGCCAGGGATGGGGCACCCTGTGCCAGCGCCTCAGCACCCTCCCAGGGAAGAGCTTCTGCCTAAGAGCTCAGCTCAGTCTCCCCTTGGGCAGGTTAAAGCCATTCCCCTTGGCCTGGCCCTACAGGCCCTTGTCCCAAGCCCCTCTCCAGCTTCCCTGCAGCCCCTTTAGGCACTGGAGCTGCTCTCAGGTCTCCCCTTCAGGAGCCTTCTCTTGTCCAGGCTGACCCAGCCCAGCTCTCTCAACTCCTGACATTTCAAAGGAAGACAGCCGTCCTCTGCAGAGCTTCTCTGGCTGCTTGGCCTTCAGAACGAACATTCCTTTGTAATCCCTCCAGGATTAGACTCATTCTAGTCACACGGAGCTGTGAGCCATGGAAGGAGCTGCAGGCAGCAGTGTGAAGAGATGCTGTGGGTGGCTGGAGTTAAATCACCTATGTTGAAACCATTGGAATAATTCTCCTGAGTGTGACTTTTCCTTCAGGCTCGTAGCAGACTGCCCAGACACCAGGGTCTTTTAAAGATAGGTGCTTGGTCACTCTCTGGATTGGCAATAAAGCAGAGTTCCTTTTACATTGCAGCTTTTTGTCCTGATGGTGAGAATAAGTTTATTTTTATTGGGTTTCTTGGTTTTGGAGAACTTAAATCAGGATTTTCCTGCAGTTTGAGGATTGTGCGCAGTATTAGACTTAGATGGAAAATGCTTACAACTTATAGACACCAAATATTGTTGAATATTTTCTTGACAGGCTGAGAACACTGGGGCTGTTGAGCCTGGAGAAGAGAAGCTGTGTGGAGACCTCAGAGCAGCTTCCAGTGTCTGAAGGGGGTTACAAGGATACTGGAGAGGGACTCTTCATTAGGGACTGCAGTGATAGGACAAGGGGTGATGGGTTCAGACTGAAACAGGGAAAGTTTAGGTTGGAGATAAGGCAGAAGCTCTTCCCTGTGAGGGTGCTGATGCGCTGGCACAGGGTGCCCAGAGAAGCTGTGGCTGCCCCATCCCTGGCAGTGTTCAAGGCCAGGTTGGACACAGGGGCTTGGAGCAAGCTGCTCCAGTGGAAGGGGTCCCTGCCCGTGGCAGGGGTTGGAGCTGGAGGAGCTTTAAGGTCCCTTCCAACCCAAACCAGGCTGGGATTCTATGACTGCATTTATTCTTTCTCACCCTCTTTTTAAGCAGTCAAAGTCTTTAAATGCTTAAAAATGATTTTTAAGGGGGCAAAGGGAATTCACAGTTTGCAGGATAAAGATGATGTTTAGGATCTGCTTTCCAGAAACTAATCTAGGATTCTTATTTGGCTGTCCAGTTCTGCTGTTCTCTGCACTAACTAATGCTTAATTTGTGAAGGGCTGCAATAGCAGATATTAATACTTCCCAGTTTAAAGGATCCCTAAATACCATTCCTGCTTCCCTGCAGAGCCACTAATTCATTTCTTACAAGCTTTTTCAGTAGCAGTTAGAGAACATTTTATTAGCTCGTGGAACCAAATGTTTCCTTATATGAATAAACTTGAAATTCCATCTGGAACAACAGTAAGGTTAAGAATATCCCATCTTTGCCCATAAAATCAGGATACCCATGAAAGTGTTCAGGTTTCCCAGGTTAAGGAACGATGATGCATTTCTTAGTCAGACTTTTGTTTTTAGTTCCCTTGCCCCAAAGAATTTTCTCCTGGGAAATGTGGCTACTTGAGCCTCATATTTCATCATGTTTTGTAATATATTTATAGCTGTCATAAAAGGATTCCTGTCTAAACTGTCCCGAGGTTAAATCCAGCTTTGTGTTTGGCTAATGGAGGGAAATGCAGTCACAAAGCAGCGGAGAACACCGGCTTCAAGGGATGCGGTGCCTCATCCTGCTGCTCCTTCAGGATTTACCATTATATTAATTCACCAAAACACAGATCAAACACCAATTCAAGTATTGTATAAGTCAAATGATGTGCTGCCTTGCCAGTTTTCATTCCAAACCCCCATTTAGAGCACAGAACCAACTCGAAACGTTTCTAATTGAGGGAGGTGCTACTGTACAAGACATGTTCTTCATGCTGGAGCTTGCAGTCCTGCCAGGTCCAAGATCTTGGTTGGGTTTGCAAGCAGATTTGCTTTGCAGGGTGTTTTGTAGTAGTACAGTAAGGCCAGTTGGATGCTTTTGTTTCTCTTCTCCAGTGTAAACCTTTCAATGTAGCAGGTTTTTAGGGGATATCTCAGGCTTCCAGCTTGTGATATTTGTTGTTATGCTGTTAATTTAAGTGGAATTTGTTTTGCATGAGGAGGGGGGGAGCCCTCATGGTGAAATACAGAGCTCCATATCCAGGTTCTGTGAAAACCAAGTATCCTGAACGTTCTGTGATTATATCATAGAATCACAAATGGTTTGTTTTTGAAGGGGCGTTAAAGCTCATCCATTCCCCCTTGGCCTGTCCCTACAGGCCCTTGGCCCAAGCCCCTCTCCAGGTTTCCTGCAGCCTCTTCAGGCACTGGAGCTGCTCTCAGGTCTCCCCTTCAGGAGCCTTCTCTTCTCCAGGCTGCCCCAGCCCAGCTCTCTCAGCCTGGCTCCAGAGCAGAGCTGCTCCAGCCCTCACAGCAGCTCCATGGCCTCCTCTGGCCTCACTCCAACAGCTCCATGTCCCTCTTGTGCTGCTGCCCCAGAGCTGGATCAGGGCTGCAGGGGGGGGTCTCCCCTTCACACAGCAGAGGGGCAGGATCCCCTCCCTGAGCTGCTGCTCACGCTCTGGGGGTGCAGCCCAGCACATGGCGGGGTTCTGGGCTCAAGCGCACACTGAAGCCGGGTCATGGGGAGCTTCTCTTCACCCAGCACCCCAAGTCCAAATCTTTTTAATTAAATAATTGAATTTTTAGTATATTGATTTATATATTAATGGATTTCTTTTCTTCTTCTTTTTCAGAGCATTCAGTCAGAAAAGAGCAGCAATCGAGAAGGAATATGCACAGGTAGGTTCTAGAGTAATTTTATTGTCTATGGCGTTCTCTTGATGTAATTTATTCATTAGGTCTGTAGGGTTTTTCATTTACCCTTTCTGTAAGTCACTATGAAAGTACCTCTTGAAGCTCCAGTTTTGACAGTTTGGCCTATGCAGGACTTAGACCTGTTCCGTGTTTGCATGGATGTTTTGACTCGAGGAAGTTCCTGTGTACAGAAACCATTTTTCATATTATTCTTTTCAAAGCGTTACAAAGTCAGGGACCTCTTTGAGGTTTTCTCAGAAGTTAGTGTGAAACCTGAGCAAAAAAAAGTAAAATCAGGTCAACTGGAGGGAGAGGAAATGGGTTGTGGCATCCTCGGGCCAATGTAAATTTACATTCCCATTCTTCAGGAGGAGCAGCTTCCCATTCATCTGCAATAAAAGCAGCCAGATTTGGCCTCGTGCTGGTGATAGGGAGTGGAATGAATTCTGATTTGTTTGGGAGAAAGGAGGGAGGATTGATTTTTTTTTTTTCCCTCCCTGCTTCCAAAATTAGAACGCATCTCATAAGGGTACAGCTGCCTCCTTCATTTACAGGGGAGGCTCTTGGAGCTTAAGTCCAAGTCCAACAGCTTAAAAAGACATTAATTTATTTTAAAACAGATTAGAAGTTGAATCAAATAGAAGCAAAGGAGCTTGTGGAGCTCAATATACAATAAATACAACTGGGGATGTGCCTGATGTTACAGTTGTTGGTGTTGGGGCAGGGACAGAGTGATGTGAAAAGGGAAGCTGTTGCTTGGGTGTCCCTACCTGTAGTTTGTGACTTGTTGGGTTAAGCCTCCTGTTAGTGCTGCATCACCCCCAGGTCTGCCCAGAGCAAACATCGCTGCTGGCCTGGCTTTGCTACTCTGCTCTCGTGAGACCTCACCTGGAGTGTTGTGTGCAGTTCTGGTGTCCTCAGCATAAAAAGGACATGGAACTGTTGGAACAAATCCAGAGGAGGCCACGAGGATGAGCAGGGGCTGGAGCAGCTCCTGTATGGAGCCAGGCTGAGGAAGTTGTGGCTGTTGAGCCTGGAGAAGAGAAGCTGCGTGGAGACCTCAGAGCAGCTTCCAGTGTGTGAAGGGGGCTACAAGGATGCTGGGGAGGGACTCTTCATCAGGGACTGCAGTGATAGGACAAGGGGTGATGGGTTCAAACTGACACAGGGGAAGTTCAGGTTGGAGATAAGGAAGAAATTCTTTCCTGTGAGGGTGCTGAGGCACTGGAATGGGTTGCCCAGGGAGGTTGTGAATGCTCCATCCCTGGCAGTGTTCAAGGCCAGGTTGGACAGAGCCTTGGGTGCCATGGTTTAGTGTGAGGTATCCCTGCCTATGGTAGGGGGGTTGGAGCTGGATGATCTGAAGGTCCTTTCCAACCCTAACTATTCTATGATTCTATGATGAAAGAAGATTTTGGTGTCTGTGCCAAATGCTTTTTCTAGCCCTACATCTCCTGTAGGGAGTCTGAGCCCTCAAACTCAGCTGAAACCACTTTGTAAATCACATGAAATTTGCACTGAATTCAATCCAGATGTTGACAGTAGTGCTCTGAGGATCTGCAGTTACTGCTGCTCCTCTTCCTCCGCTGTACGCGGACTGGCATCAGCATCTATCGATTCCATTGGCAGTTGCACTTGATTTGATTCAGAGCAACAATTTTTCATTGACAGAATCAATAGATGCCTCCTGAACCTTTGATTAAAAGTATGTGTTCTTTAGTGAGTTTTGTAAGGATTTTTTGTAATGACATTGAATTTAAGTTCGTTCTTGATACATTTATCCATTCTGCACCAGGACTGTGTTTTATATGCAGCAGTCGCTGCTTTTAGGGAATAGTCTGGATAAGCTGGAAAAATAATTACATTCTCGGATTCAGAAGGCTCAGTCTTAACAACTGAGGCTTTCAAGTCCTTGCATTTAAACACCCCCCCCCCCTCAGCTTTCCAGCAATCCAGCTGCATCATTTGACATCCCTTCAATGCCTGCTTCTATGAATGAGGGCTTTGGGCTCGCTTCCTTGGTTTGCTGATAAGTGCCCAGTTCAGGAACAACGTTGGATGTTTCTTCTTGGGCCTGTGAAAAGGATTTCTGTGTTGGAGATGGTAATAAAATTCCACATCAAGCCTTGGTTTTGGGGGGGGGAGAGGAATTGTGCTGCAAAAGAAATGTGAAGTCGGATTCATCAATGGGGGAATCTTCCTTTTGAACCTGGTCTAAAGGAAACTGGAGGTTTCTGAAGCAGGATTTCGACATCTTTTCACAGGCTCTGTCCAAAAGCCTCTTGTCACTCTCAGAGGACTCAGAATATTCTTACTTAGGACTTTTTGGCAAGTGAAAGAGATAAATAGTGGTGGACAGTGAAAACCAATTGCCCAGAACTGAATGCTTTGTTGGTTAAAAGAAGTTGTGTTCTGCTGCCCAGTGCTTGGTGCCAAGTTTCACTGCACAAAGTGCTTTTGTTTGGAGTAATACCTATACAGATGCTCATGAAACACATGGGGCAGTGTTGATAATTTCCTCAGGTATCTTGAATGCATATGATGTATCAGAACCTGTATGTAAGTTATGCTATGGCTCCTTTTACCAAGGCAGTTGGTTTTACTCGGTCTCTTCACCATATTGTACCTGTTGAAGTGATTTCAAGCTGGTTCCAGTGCTTATTACCTGCCTCTGGTGGCTTCTTCCCTGGCTTTTTTGGCTGTGCCATGGTATAAATGAGAGAAGCATTTGATGCATCAGCCCTCCCGTTGCGAAGGCCTTTCTGGCTCTGTTGTGGATATGCATGGAGAGGTTTCAGTGGTATTTTCAGTACTGCATCATTAAATAGACATTTGAGGCTCACCTTAATATTCAGAAATTGAGAGCTTGAACAGGCTTTCATTTCCCATTAGCAGGATTCCTAGTTAATAGCATTTAAATTGCAGTTTTATAGAGTATTATTAGCTGTGCTCATGATTAATAAGCTGGCTGAAATCAGGAGGCAGGAATACTCTTTTGTTAGCTGAAAGAGCAACTTAGTGAATGCCTGATAAAACACTGTTTTCCTGAGCTTGTGAAGGAGGTAAAATGGTGTTGTTACTTCGTTTCAGGTTGTAATTGCACCTCTGCTGTACTTTGTATTATTCTTTAACAGTTTTAACACAACAGGAGCCTTTCGCAGTCTGTGTCCCACGCTGGGAACACACAGAGGGGAGATGAAGATGAGCTCTTAGGCAGAAGCTCTTCCCTGTGAGGGTGCTGAGGCGCTGGCACAGGGTGCCCAGAGAAGCTGTGGCTGCCCCATCCCTGGCAGTGTTCAAGGGCAGGTTGGACACAGGGGCTTGGAGCAAGCTGCTCCAGTGGAAGGGGTCCCTGCCCGTGGCAGGGGTTGGAGCTGGAGGAGCTTAAGGTTCTGTTAACCCAAACCAGTCTGGGATTCTATGATTCCATGTCCTGTTTTGTCATGCTTTGGTTTTGGTCCATCTTTGGCTCTCACTGTGTTGGAGTAAAACGTGACTCCAGGCAATCAGCATGGTCCACCTCTATGAGTGTACAAGTCATCTCAAAGAGGTTGAGCTGTGAAACATGCTCCCCGTTTCAGTGCATGCTAATCAATTGCTAACTGTAATACGTCAGCTGAGGGCACTGAGGAAACCAAGTGGGAAAGTTCATTCTATCAGCTATATTAGAGCTTTGGATTTAGGCTGAGGAGCAAGAAGGAGCTTCTGTTGAGCTGAAAGAAAGGAAAAAGCCACTGACTTACGATTTCTGTTCCTGCCTGCCTTTCGGGTGGTCAGATGAATGTTGAAGAGATGTGTGAGCTCAGGAGAAGCAGCTATCTGATCTGTGATCTGAGAGTGGACAGGTCACTGGTGTTGGTTCCTGTTGCAATGAAACTTGAGACATTTAAACCACTTTAAAGTATGGAGGAATAGAAGGTGGTACAGTTTGTACCCACACATTCCTGTTGGCAGCTGTGAGTGAAGTGCAGCCTATCACAGGATCCCAGACTGGTTTGGGACCTTAAAGCTCATCCAGCTCCAACCCCTGCCACAGGCAGGGACCCCTTCCACTGGAGCAGCTTGCTCCAAGCCCCTGTGTCCAACCTGGCCTTGAACACTGCCAGGGATGGGGCAGCCACAGCTTCTCTGGGCACCCTGTGCCAGCGCCTCAGCACCCTGACAGGGAAGAGCTTCTGCCTAAGAGCTCAGCTCAGTCTCCCCTCGGGCAGGTTAAAGCCATTCCCCTTGTCCTGCCCTACAGGCCCTTGTCCCAAGCCCCTCTCCAGGTTTCTTGAGGCTGTTGTCCTCCACTTGCTTACTGGATTGGTTCTACCACTGAAGTAATAAACCCTCCTCAAGTGTTTTCCAGAGCACTCAGTGACATTTTGGTGTAATTCCACATTTGTTTGCTGCCAAGGTAAAAGGTATTTGTTGTTATGCTGTTAATTTAAGTAGAATTTGTTTTTCATGAGGAGGGGGGGAGCCCTCATGGTGAAATACAGAGCTCCATATCCAGGTTCTGTGAAAACCAAGTATCCTGAATGTTCTGTGATTATATCATAGACTCACAAATGGTTTGTTTTTGAAGGGACGTTAAAGCTCATTCATTCCCCCTTGGCCTGGCCCTAGAGGCCCTTGTCCAAAGCCCCTCTCCAGCTTTCCTGCAGCCCCTTTAGGCACTGGAGCTGCTCTCAGGTCTCCCCTTCACACAGCAGAGGGGCAGGATCCCCTTCCTGAGCTGCTGCTCACGCTCTGGGGGTGCAGCCCAGCACACAGGGGGGTTCTGGGCTCAAGCGCACACTGAAGCCGGGTCATGGGGAGCTTCTCCTCACCCAGCACCCCAAGTCCTTCTCCTCAGGCTGCTCCATCCAGGCTCCCCCAGCCTGGGTCTGTGCTTATTAGCTCATTCCCTGTCGTCTGGACAGAAAGCTGGCGTTCTTTTCAGCCTGGAGGATACAGAAGGTTACTGTGGCCTCAGGGAGAGCAGGAAGAGATTGTGGACT